TTTTTGATTTTGAATCCTTTTTTATTTTCTCCTGAGTTCAAGCGAGGAAGACAATGCCAAGTTCAAGCAGCAATCTTCGCTGTTGTCTTTTGTTTTTTTTTCCAGAATGGCTCTGGGAAAACCCCTCCCCAAATTATAGGGGTATCCTAAGGATCCCCGATTTACCTTCTTGGGAGAATCGACGGGCGTCCCTGGCGAGGAAGGACGGATAGAAAAGCATTTAAAAAAAAAAAAAGTCTTCTTTTCTTTCGATGTTTTAAATTCTCTTTTGCTTCCCGTAGCGGTACAGGTCTCGTCCTTGTTTAACAACGGCAATTGGGACCCGGCGACTGTCGTTAAAAACAGTTTTGTAAATGAGAAGGGGGAAAAAAAATGGGACGCTGCTACTTAGTGACGGCAAACTTTGATGTCAAGTTGGAATTTGGGAAGGTGGGGCACACAACCCCGGAACTCCCCTTCCATTTTTGTCTTTGCCATTTGCCTTCTACTAATTTATAGTTAATCTGTGTCTTCTTTTTCTGATGCTTCAATGGCTGCAGAAATAATGTTTTTAACGTCCCAGGTTATCTTCGCTCAATCGACAAAGAAGGAGAGACGAGGGGGAGAAAAAAGTCTTCCTGGATCTGTAGAGGTGCCAGAAACTGACCGGATCGTGTTCTGTGCTGGTCTCTCCACGCCTCCCCTTCCCGCGCAATCTGGCAAACCTTGTCCCTTCTTTCTGTCCTAGGCAACCACCAATACTAAGGAGCAGCCGGCTCCCAGCTCCGCAGCTGCCGGGGGAGACACCCCAGCTGCCAGCACTCCTGTGATGACCCAAGACCCTGTGGTCGAAGCCAGCAAGCCGGCTTCCCCAGCCCAGGAAAGTCCCACCCAGCCACTGCCGGAAATCCAGCAACAGCTTGTGGATGTAAGCAAGGGTGGGGGGCGGCCTTGGACCCCCCTGGTTAACCCCCCCACATCCAGCTTCTCCCCAGGATTCATGGGCTGGAAAGGGCCCCGCAATGCCTTTACGGGCCACCGGGGGTCACTCTCGAGCCACATCTTCATCAGTTCCAAGTCCCTGGTGGGCAGATTTTGCAACCTGTTTGCCTTTTTTTTTTAAAAAAATCCAGATTTCAACACCTGAGCCGGGAGGAGAGCTTGCCCCTGCTTTACTGGCATGAAGAGCCTGCACACACCGAGGGGATGCCAAGAGCTGTGATCTGGTAAGGGGCTTCTTCTTTTTTACGGTGTGTTGGGTCAAGCGGTGGATTCAAACTCGGGTTTTGTTTTCACAGCGGGCTGGGCGAAAAACGGAAGAGCGGATGGATTTTGCAAGCTGCTAAACCATCCATCGCCCCTCCGAGCCTTGAATTTAACCTCGTTTCGTTTTTACTTTCAAACGTTGATAAATTGGGGGGGTGAAACCTGCCGGATCTCTTGAACGCAAACAAAAAGTTTTGCAAAGAGAAACGTGCAGATTTCTCCCTCTCTTCCGGAGTGCTTCCTTGGGCTAGGTACCTCTCAAATGCACCGAGATTTGTTGGGAGGGAGAAAAAAAATTGGAGTTTTCCCTCAGCTATCCTGACTTCCTGCAAACCCATCGGAGCTTCTTGGGAAGCTGCTTAATAAGTTGTTATTTCCTAGTCTCTCTGGCTCGGCCAATTTTTATTTTTATTTTTTATTTGCCAAGGGGGGAGGTCTTGCTTCTCCAGCTGAAAATTCACATTTAAGAGGTCCTTGGTGTGCTTACAGATGAACAGAGTTATAAGGGATCTTGTAGGTCATCTAGTCCAACCCCACCCCACTCCCTGAGTGCTCCCTAAGTTGCAAGACGTTTTGTTACCCAAACTAAGTTACATCATCAGTGCTGCAAGAAAACAGCCCAGCTCCAAGCCCGAAGGACAATTCAATTCTTAGCAAACAGTCTCTTTTATCGGTGTCGAGATTGAAGTTTGCGTGCCTCAGTTTTCAGGGTTCCCTCGGGGGTTTTTGTGTCTCTTTCTTCTGCTCCCCACAAACCTCAAACCGGCATCTGATTGAACCTTTCTCCTTCCCTTGCCAGGTGTCCAGAATGTGCCTCCAACCCAAGTTACCTCATCCTGCACTTGAAGAGACCCCAAACTTCACCAAATAACCCTCTTTGCTGCTGTTGAAGTTCTAAAATGTTAAAAAAAAGAAAAGAAAGAAAGAAAGAAAAGAAAAAAGAAGAATAAACCTGACCAGGCCGGGGTGGGGGTGGGGGGGCGCGACTTTTGACCAGAAAGAAAGGAAAAGTCACTTTTGCTTTAAAAAATAAAAAGAAGAAGAAGAAAACTTCAGAGGGGCGTTTGCCCGCCTCCTTCCACAACTTTGCCAGTTTAAAAGAGGAAAAGAAGAAAAAAAGAAGAGAAAAACTGGCAGTTTCTGAATCTTGAGTTAATTTTTTTTCCTTCCTCCCACCCCCCCTCAATTGTTTGAAGGACCACCCCGTGTGTGTAAACTATTGTGTGCAGTTTGGGCGTCAGTAAAAAAAGAAAAAAAAAATTTGCACAGAGTTTCAGTGCGTCCCTTCTTTTTCCCCATCGACAAAGTCAAAAAGGTATTTTGGTTTTCGTCGCCATCCTTTGCTCTTAAAAAAGCTGCCAAAATCTGGGCTTGGAAACTGGGAGGATGTGAGTTCGAGTCCTGCCTTACGCCCAGAATCAGATCTCGGGCCAGTCACTTTTTCTCTCCGCCCTGGGAAAGGGAGAACAAGGGAGCCCACCGCTTTGGGAATTTCGGGAGATTGTTGGTCCCAAAATCGCCCAACCGGCTTTCCATGTTTAAGCTGGGACTAGAACTCACAAACCACCTAATTTGATCGGCCTGCCAAGTGGTTTGAGCTTTGCTCCCCTTTGCCCGAGCCTGACAGTCAGTGGAACTGCTTGCCACCTGAAGTTGTGGGCGCTCCATCCATCCATCCCTGGAGGTTTTTAAGAAGAGACTGGACAGCCATTTTTGTCTGGTATGGTGTAGGGTCTCCTGCTTTTGAGCAGGGGGTTGGACTAGAAGACCTCCAAGGTCCCATCCCAACACTGTTAGTTGTGGGTGCCCTTGCCTAGGTCTCTGAATTTGGTCCCTTTTCCAGCACCCAGGAGTTGGAGCACCTTACGGTCCACGAAATGCCATGTTGACACAAGTAGTGGTTGGGTCTTCTCCAAGGCGCAGGTCTGCCCAGGAGACGCTGGGCACCTGGGTGGGACTGTTACTCTGTCCCCAAAAGTCAGACAGGGGGTTACTATCCGTAGTTCCTGCACCACAACACAAAAAAGATGTTGAGATTCTGGGAAGAGTGCAGAGAAGAGCAACCAGGATGGTTAGAGGACTAGAGGCTCAAACATACGAAGAACGGTTGCAGGAACTGGGCCTGGCTAGTCCAGTGAAGAGAAGAATTAGGGGAGACATGATAGCATCTTTCAATATTTGAGGGGCTGCCCCAAAGAAGAGGAGGGGGTCCACCTATTCTCCAAAGGACCTGAATGCGAGATAAGAAGCAACGGATGGAAACTCATCAAGGAGAGAAGCAACATGGAAACTAAGGAAGAATTTCCTGAACAGTGAGAACAATTAACCGGTGGAACTGCTTGCCACCAGAAGTTGTGGGTGCTTCATCACTGGAGGCTTTTAAGAAAAGATCGGACAGCCACTTGTTTCAAATTGTATAGGGTTTCCGGCTTCAGCAGGGGGCTGGACTAGAAGACCTCTGAGGTCCCTATGTTTCTATGATCTTGACAGGGGGTTAAAGACCTCCAAGGTCCCTTCCAGCCGTATGTTTCTATGATCTTGGGCAGGGGGAGGCTGGACTAGAAGACCTTCGAGGTCCCTTCCAGCCCTATGTTTCTATGATCTTGGGGAGGGCGGGGCTGGACTAGCAGACCTCCAAGGTACTTATGTTTCTATGATCTTGGGCAGGGCGGGTTGGACTATCTCCAAAGTCCCTTCCAGCCCTAGGTTTCTATGATCTTGGGCAAGGGGTTGGACTAGAAGACCTCCGAGGTCCCTTCCAGCCCTAGGTTTCTATGATCTTGGGCAAGGGGTTGGACTAGAAGACCTCCGAGGTCCCTTCCAGCCCTAGGTTTCTATGATCTTGGGCAAGGGGTTGGACTAGAAGACCTCCAAAGTCCCTTCCAGCCCTAGGTTTCTATGATCTTGGGCAAGGGGCTGGACTAAAAGACCTCCGAGGTCCCTTCCAGCCCTAGGTTTCTATGATCTTGGGCAAGGGGTTGGACTAGAAGACCTCCAAAGTCCCTTCCAGCCCTAGGTTTCTATGATCTTGGGCAAGGGGTTGGACTAGAAGACCTCTGAGGTCCCTTCCAATCCTATTTATTTATTTACTAGTTCAATTTATATGCTGCCTTTCTCAGGAGACTCAGGGAGGCTCTATGATTCTATGTCCTATGAATCCCCCAGGATGGGGGAGAAAGTCCAGCCTGCGAGAGACCTACGTCCCGACGGCCAAATTTTTACAACCCTCTCAAAATGCTGCTGGCTGGGGAGTTGATTCCAGCTGCTTTGCCCAATGACCCATTAGCCAGGAAATAATTCTGGTTCAGGAGTCAGCAACCTGCAGCTCTGGAGCCGCATGTGGCTCTTTCAACCCTCTGCTGCGGCTCCCTGTCACTCAAAATATGCCTCACAACCGCCAATGTGCGACACCCGCCCGGCACACGATTTATTGAGCTTTTCCACCATGGATAGAAGATGGATTTTCAGAAGAAAACAGAAGGTTTAATTCAACTACATCTGCTAGTTTTGTGGCCACTCAAGAAATAGTCAAGCACAGGAAGGTTTTTGTGGCTCCCGGTGTTTTCTTTTGTGTGGGAAACGGATCCAAATGGCTCTTTTGAGAATTTTAATTTTGCAGACCCCTGTCCTGGTTTGTCTTAATTGTGATTAACCGAGGTTTAGGCCTAGCATCTTCACATTTTCCCCGTGGCCTTCCGGGACTCTTTTCTTTTTTTAGGAAATTCCTGAGCGATACAAGCAAGAAAACTCCAGAGTGTAGCCATCTATTCTTTATATACAAATACCGTTTTTTGGGGTTATTTTTTTTTTTCTAGAAATACAAAAGGAAACATGCACACGCGCGCACACACAATAAATCCTTGGGCCGTGTTAAGACATTTTCTCTCGTGACGCAAAGCCGCAAACGTGCAACCTTTCCGCGCCAAGAGGAAGAAAAATCTTTTAAAAAAAATAAAATAAAATTTTACAGTCTTGCATTTATTTATTTTTCTTTTCATTCTCCGTTCCGGCTTTTCCCGCACAGGTGGTCGAATTTCCCGCAGTCTTGTCGGCTTTCGTTTTAAAAGTTCCCTGCTTTGGTAGGGAAAATAATAAAAATAACTAATTTCTAAGCGCTCTTGGTAGGATGCAAAAAAAAAAAAAAAGAGGTTTGAAAGGGGTTGAAGAGGAATTAAAGAGAAGAGTTCACACGCCGGGCAATTTAGAAAGCTCTGCGTAAAAAAAATTAATTCCTAGGAATTAACGGCCCCGCCTTTTAAAATCCGGGGAGTCCTTGAAGTGGGGATGGAGAGAGAATTAAACCAGCTCAGACCTGAGCAAACCCTGTTCCTTACTAGCACTGATGATGTTACTTAGCTGGGTCATGAGATGGTTGCAAGAAAACCACTAAGCTCAGAGAGCACCAAAAACCCCTCCTTTCAACCCTGAGTTACCAATATTCTCCTTTACTGATATATATATATATATATATATATTGCAAAATCATCCTTTTTGCAATTTGAAACTTTTGTTTTTAATCCTAACCATTTGCAAGCTTGAAAAAAAGCAGCTCCGGTTAGGTTTTCCCTTTTTAATCTCAAGCCAAGCATCTGTGGTGGTTTTGGGGTAGGGGGCAGTCAATGGCCTTGTAATCGCGGGGACCCAGGAGAGGCAGAAGGCGAGCGGGGGGGGGGGTGCCATCTGATCAGCTGCTCAGTTTGCACCAGGAATGGACTGTTTTGCAAGAGGTCAATTCAGCTCTCCGGAGAAGCACAGCAGCGTCTCTCGCACTCGGATCCCTGACTCGGAGGGAGGTCCAGGAAATAGGGGGTCGACAAGGGGATCCCCCCTACCCAAGAGAGCAACCGAGGGAACGTTGCGTCTTGCAGTGTTTCCCAGCCACAGCGACTTTAAGATGGGTGGACTTCAACTCCCAGAATTCAACAGTGGTTGAAAAACATCCACAATGGCTGGGGAATTCTGGGAATTCCTTGAACCCACAAATGCTGGCTGGGGAATTCTGGGAGTTGAAGTCCACCCTTCGTTAAAGTTGCGGAGGCTGGGAAGCACTGGTCCATAGAAAGCAGCCTCCCTCCCTCCGTCTCTCGCAGGTCTGAGTAGGGAACTTGTAGTCCTTCCTCTGGAGATGGCCTCAGTAGTCCCAATGTCACCGTGGAGGCCCAGAGAAGGACTACAGGGCATCCCAGGCGGTCACTCTTCCACCTCTCTGGTCAACATCGTCTTGTTTGGCCTCAGCCTTCATCACACATTCGTGGTTTGAGGTCGGGGGTGTTGAGTGATCAAACGTGGCCACTTTTAAGACTTGTGGACTTCAATTCCCAGGATTCCCCACCCAGAATTCAGCCATGTATAGGTCAAGAACAAATGAGATTAGATTACTATTTTTATTTTTTTGATTGGGTAACTTTCTTAATAGACGGTGGGAATGAAGTAGATGTAATATACCTTGACTTGACAGCAAAGTGGAAAGAAGGAATGGCTGGGGAATTCTGGGAGTTGAAGTCCACAGGTCTTAAAATTGGCCACGTTTCGACAGCCACAGCCCCGGAAGATGTCAAAGGTTACTGGAAAATGCCTATCCTGAATCGGGTGAAAAAGGAAGGCTGCCTGTGGAACCTCCTGAGGGAGCAGCAAGGAACTCTGTCCATGCTCTTGTGCAATATGCACTCAGGACATAGCATTATCCCAAGCCAACCAGGTACAAAATCAGGAAAAGTCTTCGGAGAAAAGGGATATTTGGCAGCCAGTCTCTCTCCTGGGGGGTGGGGGGGCGTGAGGGGGGGGGCTTGGTTCGTGCGTCAGAAAGTGCTCTGGGAAACGGGGGGAAAATCTAGGCAAAATGGGGCCACCCTGAGGGCATCTTTCTACTCCAAAGCCTAATTTACAGCAGAGTGAGAGTGATGCCTGCCCTCCCGAACCATCTGATCTTCTTTTAATTGCTTTTCTCTTAAAAATATTAATAATAATAATAATAATAAAAAAGTAAATGCAACCGGACCAAAGAAACCATTGGCCGAGACCACGAGACTCTCCGGCCAGGCCTCGTGGCCCTAAAGTGCTAGACAAACCCTGCTATCTTTGCCACCGTCCCTGATTCCACTCCTTGTGGTCTCCTTTCCCTCTCCGCCATGCCATTCCTTTCCCTGCCCTCCCGCCCCACTCGTCATTCGTGGCCGTCCGGACTCAGCTCGTCCAGCTCCGTGTAGGGCTTGATCTCGTGATCCAACAACGACGGGGTGCGTCGGAATGTGGCGGCGATGTCGTCAAAGGTCCGCCCCCGAGTCTCGGGCACCTTGAGGTAGGTGAAGGCGGCGAAGATGAAGAGGAGGATGGCGAAGACGAGGAAGACGTAAGGACCGATCGCCTCCTGCAAGGGATAACGGAATAACAAGAGGTGGAAGGGACCTTGGAGGTCTTCTAGTCCAACCCCTTGCCCAAGATCATAGAAACATAGGGTTGGAAGGGACTTTGGAGGTCTTCTAGTCCATCCCCTTGCCTAAGATCATAGAAACATAGGGCTGGAAGGGACCTTGGAGGTCTTCTAGTCCAACCCCTTGCCCAAGATCATAGAAACATAGGGCTGGAAGGGACCTTGGAGGTCTTCTAGTCCAGCCCCCTGTGACAGATCATAGAATCATGGGGCTGGAAGGGACCTTGGAGGTCTTCTAGTCCAGCCCCTTGCCCAAGATCATAGAAACACAGGGCTGGAAGGGACTTCGGAGGTCTTCTAGGCCAGCCCCACCCCCACCCCCACCCCCACCCCCGCCCAAGATCATAGAAACATAGGACTGGAAGGGACCTTGGAGGTCTTCTAGTCCAACCCCTTGGCCAAGATCATAGAAACATAGGGCTGGAAGGGACTTTGGAGGTCTTCTAGTCCAACCCCTTGCCCAAGATCATAGAAACATAGGGCTGGAAGGGACCTTGGAGGTCTTCTAGTCCAACCCCTTGCCCAAGATCATAGAAACATAGGGCTGGAAGGGACCTTGGAGGTCTTCTAGTCCAGCCCCCTGTGACAGATCATAGAATCATGGGGCTGGAAGGGACCTTGGAGGTCTTCTAGTCCAGCCCCTTGCCCAAGATCATAGAAACACAGGGCTGGAAGGGACTTTGGAGGTCTTCTAGGCCAGCCCCACCCCCACCCCCACCCCCACCCCCACCCCCGCCCAAGATCATAGAAACATAGGGCTGGAAGGGACTTTGGAGGTCTTCTAGTCCAACCCCTTGCCCAAGATCATAGAAACACAGGGCCGGAAGGGACCTTGGAGATGTTTAACTCCCTGTCAAGATCATCGAAACATAGGGACCTTGGAGGTCTTCTAGTCCAGCCCCCCTGCTGAAGCCGGAAACCCTGTACAATTTGAAACATGTGGCTCTCCGATCTTTTCTTAAAAACCTCCAGCGATGAAGCACCCACAACTTCTGGTGGCAAGCAGTTCCACCGGTTAATTGTTCTCACTGTTCAGGAAATTCTTCCTTAGTTCCAGGTTGCTTCTCTCCTTTCCATCCACTGCTTCCCGTCCTGCCTTCAGGGGCTTTGGAGAATAGGTGGACCCCCAACTCTTCTTTGGGGCAGCCCCTCAAATATTGAAAGATGCTATCATGTCTCCCCTAATTCTTCTTTTCTCTAGACTAGCCAGGCCCAATCCCTCCAAGGACCAACCAAACCTCCAAGTTTGTTCAGTAACAAACTACCATTCAGTTTCAGGGTTGATTTCCTAGATCAGAGGTCTTCAAAGTGGGCAGCTTTAAGACTTGTGGACTTCAACTCCCAGAATTCTCCAGCCAGCGTAGCTACGCTGGCTGGAGAATTCTGGGAGTTGAAGTCCACAAGTCTTAAAGCTGCCCACTTTGAAGACCTCTGTCCTAGATGTTTGTTTTCCTCCTCCCTCTCTCCTTTCGTGCTGTGCCATTCGGATCATCGCCCGACGGCTAAAAACATCTGGACGGGCCGTCGGTCGGCACCGAAGCGCAGGGATAAACATCCGTCCTTATCCGGGTCTCAAACTCACCTGGATGGACGGGAAACTCATGCCGATAATAAAGTTGCAAGTCCAGTTGGCAAAGCCGGCCACGGCCATGGCGGCCGGACGTGGCCCCTGGCTGAAGAGCTCCGCCACGATGAACCACGGGATGGGGCCCGGCCCGATCTCGAAGAAGGCCACGAAGGCGAAAATGGCCACCATGCTCAGGTAGCCCATCCAGGACACGGTTTTCTGTCGAGAGAGAGAGAGAGGCGATCTCAAGAGGATTTTTCCAGCTGGCAAAATTCCCGGACACGCAACGCGAATACGTACGGATAGTCCTCGAATTGCAACGCTTCGTTTAGTGACCGTTCGGAGTTGCCACGGCACTGAACGAAGGGACTTACGGCCGTTTTTTTCACATTTACGACAATTGGAATGTCCGCACAGTCATGTGATCAAAATTCAGACGCTCTAGGCAAGTGACTCGTATTTATGACGGTCGCAGTGTCACCCGGGGTCATGCAATTCCTTTTGTGACCTTCCAACAAGCAAAGTCAATGGGGAAGACAGATTCGCTTAACAACTGGGTTACTGACTTAACAACCGCTGTGATTCGCTTAACGACTGAGGCAAGAAAGGTCGCAAAACGAAACAAAACTCACTGAACAAATGCCTCACTTAACAACAGAAATTTTGGGCTCCCCTTTGGTCATAAGACAAGGAACAACTGTACAGTCAATGATTCGCTTAACAACCGTGTTACTAACTTAGCTAGCTGCGATTTTGGTTTTGTTTCGCTAAGCGACTGTTTTGCTTAGCAACCAGAAATCTGAGGCTCTATTGCGGTCGTAAGTCGAGGACTACCTGCCTTTGGGGGCCTGAGGTGAGAAGGGCCCTTCTGGTGACCCACTGGAGTGGGGAGGAGGACCCATGGATTTTCCTCTCTCGCAAAAGGAAATCGGATACCTGTTGGTTCAGATTAAGGGACGGTGGAACTGACCGCCACAAGAGGCGGCCGATTGGGATGGAGAGAAATTCAGCCCTCAAGAGGGGTTGTCCTGTGTCCGGCTACTCACCAGAAGGAGGAGCGAGGTCATCATCAAAAGGGCACAGACCCCCATCCCGAATAAGCCCAGCATATGTAACGTCCGCCTTCCTGCCCGCTCCACCAGGAACACCTGGAAGAGAGGAAAAAGGTGAGGAAAAATGATCCTCGCCAGCGAAGCGATCCTGTTCGATTTCTACAGCAAATGATTGATAGCAAATTTTGATTTTCATAGCAAATTGAACCGGGGGCTGGACTAGAAGACCTCCAAGGTCCCTTCCGACTCTGTTATTTCAATCTCTACAGCCAATTATTGAGAGCAAACCTCTGGACAGCACTTGGTAATTGCTAAACTTTGCGGACAATGGAAGGAAAGGATGGATCTTGGCCAACATTTCTCAGCCGTTTTAAGTTGTGTGGACTTCAACTCCCAGAATCCCCCTGCCATCTCTGTTTTTTTTTCCTTCTTCACTTTGCCGAAGTCAAGTTATATTACGTTCCCTTCATACCCACCATCTATTAAGAAAGCTACCCTATCCCAAAAAATGCGACCGAGGAGTTTAACCAACTTTTTTCTTGTCCACCAACCATGTTTGCTGGGGAATTCTGGGAGTTGAAGTCCACAAGTCTTTAAAGTTACCTGGTTTGGAGACATCCGCACCCTACCTACCCCGCTCTTGGGGAACCCCACGGGGTCGGCCGGGGTGAGGCAGGATCTCTTACCGAAATGATGGTGAAGATGGTGTTGACCACGCCCGTTCCGATGGTCGCGTAAATGGGCTGCTCAAGGCCGGCTTTGGTCAAGATGTCGGTGGAGTAATAGAAGACCTAAAGAGGAACGATGAAGGTTCTTCCTGGTCCTTAGGGGTCCACCCTGCCCCACTTCCCTCCCTCCCTCCGGCAGCCCCACTCACGGCATTGATGCCCGACAGCTGCTGGGACAGCTGCAGGACCACGGCAATCAACAGCGGCTGGCGGTAAATGCGGGAACGGAAGAGCTGGAGGATGGAGACCTTGTGTTCCATGTCCATACGCCGTTTCTCCTCCTTCATCTCCGTCAACGCCGCACTCACATCCTGACGGCCGGTCAGCCGCTTGAGACCTAGGGAGGGGGGACGACGGCCCATGGAAGTTAGCAAGAGGGGAGCACCGCCCAACGGGGTGGAAAGAGGAAACGGGGAATCCCAGGAACGGGGAGTGGGGGGGAAGACGGGATGGGAGAAGAGGGATGGCCAACTGTTGGGTTGACTTGAAGGAACATCTCGATCCTGGCGATTTCCAGGTACGAGGACTGCAATTCCCAGCGTCCCTTGGGATGTTCGCTCGGGATCTGTGGAGTTGTGGGCTCGATGTACCTGGAGGGTAATGGATTGTGGGGAGGAGGGGGGGGAAATGGACAGGATTCCATTGGTGGATCCCCGAATAAGGTGACCAGTGAGAAGGTGAGAGCAGGGAAGAATAGATCAGAAGAACCATGTTTAACTTGTTGTGGTTAGTGGTGGGTGCTCCATCACTGGAGGATTTCAAAAACAGGCCAGACAACCAAATTGACTGGGGTGTTGTAAGGGGTTGGACTAGAAGACCTCTGAGGTTATGATTCTATGTTCTAGCTGAGGGGTCTCCAAACTGGCTGCCAACTAACCTTCTTCCTAAGCCTTTTCGTCATTTTGTACCATGGTTGGCTTGGTGTAAATGCTAAGTCCCGAGTGCACATCGCACAAGAGTGCCGCAGAGCATGTGCAGAGTTCCTTGCTGTTCCCTCAGGAGATTCCATTGGCAGCCTTCCACCTTCACATGGTCCAAAATATTCATTTTCTAGCTGAATTGTCACCTTCTACACCAGGGGGGTGTCTCCAAACCTGGCCCCTTTAAGGTTCGCGGACTCCAACTCCCAGAATTCCCCAGCCAGCAAGGGTTTCCCAGAATTCAACATGGGTAGGAGAAATACAAATGTGATTAGACTATTTTCTTATTGTTTATTATTATTTTTATTTATATTATTATTATTATTATTATTAATTATTAATTATAAATAATAATAAATAATAGACAGTGGGAATGAAGTAGACATAATATATCTTGACTTCAGCAAAGTGGGGGGAAAAAAGCCGGCTGGGGAATTCTGGGAGTTGAAGTCCACGTCTTAAAGCTGCCAAGGTTGGGGACCCCTGGTTTAACAGAAGTAGGGGTGCCCCATCAGATAAACATGAGATGAAAAAGAAGTAAACGGCGCCTCAAAAGAGGTTGGGGGGGTGTCACGCCATCTCCTCCCCAGATCTTTCCCAGGGAAAGTTCTATTTCAAGTTGTCTTCAATTTATGATGATTCGTTTAGCGACCGTTCCACATTACAACAGCAAGGGGGGAAAAAGAGACTTACGAGCGGCTCTCGCTTTCAATTCGGACACTCGGCGACCGACGCAGATTGACATGTCCGCCATTTGTGACCGTCAAAGCCAGCTTCATCAACAGGGAAGCCAAATAAACTTCACGACGTGTTGCTCCCTTAACGGCAGTGATTCACTTAACAACGTTGGCAAGGAAGCTTGTAAAACGGGGGCAAAACGCACTTCACAACTGTCTCGCTTTGCCACGGACAGGTTGGGCTCGTCCGCTGTGGTCGTAAGGCGGGGAGGAATTGCCTGTACTCACTTTCTTTGGCCTTGGACTCCTTGTTTCGGATGATGTACAGGTAGCGCGGGCTCTCCGGACAGAAAGGGAAGAGCAGCAGCTGCAGGATGGAGGGCACCACGGTGATGCCCATCAAGAGAGGCCAGTAGGTCTCCGTGCCCAGCAGAGTGTCCAGGCCGCACACCTGGCAGGGGGGGAAAAAAAGCGGTTGGTTCAAGACCTACTCGCAATCAACTGGAAGATGGCGTGCTAAATATCGGTGGTACAAAAAAGGAGAAGAGTTGTAGCTCAGGGTTGGAGGGTCCTTGGTTCTCGCAGAGCTTTGGTGGTTTTCTTACAGACGTTTCATGACCCAGCTAGGGAACATCATCAGTGTGAGGAAGAGGAGGAGGAGGAGGAGGAGGAGGAGGAGGAGGAGGAGGAGGAGGAGGAGGAGGAGGAGGAGGAGGAGGAGGAGGAGGAGGAGGAGGAGGAGAATTGTGGGGTCCTTGGTGCTCTCTGAGCTTAGTTGTTTCCTTCCAGATGTTTCATGACCCAGTCGAGGAACATCATCAGTGCTAGAATGTGCAAATCCCACTCCCTTCTAACACTGATGATGTTCCCTTGTTGGGTCATGAAACGTCTTCAAGGAAACTACCAAACTCAGAGAGCACCAAGGACCCCACAGTCCGACCCTGATCTACCGATCTCTTCAACTGGTAGAAAGAGCATCCTTTACATTCCCCACAGGCCTCCCCAAGCTTCCCCTGGTAAAGACTTCGGGAAAACAACATCTTGGGTCTTTCAGAATAAGAAGCACTCTTAACTGGGACCAGTCAATTGCTAACTCTGTCTATATTCCACCGAGGACGTGTGGAGTGTTTTTAAGGAGCCCATTCTCGATCTCTGGGACCGGAATTCACAGTACTTCGTGGTTGCAGTTCTCGACTTACAACAATACATTTAGTGACCGTTTGAACTTATAACGGCTTACACTTACGACCGTTGCAACATCCCTGTGGTCACGCGATGATCAAAATTCGGATACTTGGCAACTGACTCATATTTATGACGGTCGCGGTGTCCCGAGCTCACGTGATCCCTTCTTTGGTGCGACCCCCTCCATCCACCCCCCCCTCAAATCTCTAATATGGGGATAGGGGTGCCTAGGCTACTTACCTGGGCAATTAGGATCCCGATGACAATGGCCAGCTGGTTCATGGTCCCCAAAGCCCCCCGAAGCTTGGTGGGGGCGATCTCCCCCACATACATGGGGACCAGTCCGGAGGCAAATCCTGACACAGAGTGGGAGAAGGGGGAGAGGGAATGAAGTTAACTCAACCCCACATCAACAGCCCTGCTCCTTTGAGGGTAGGTGTTGTGGCCCATCAGCGGCCTGTGCAGCTAGTAGCTGATTCCGACAGCGAGGAGGCTGGTGTGGGGCTGCGCCAGCAGCCTGTGCAGCCGGTGCTCGAGTCGGACAGTGAGGAGGCTGGAGAAGATGTGGTGCCAGAGGCGGGGATTCAGCCAGGGCCTTCAGAACCTCCCACAAGTGAAGAGGAAGAAGAGGAGGAGCCTCTTCTCGACGCACGGGCGCACAGAGCTGCCAAAAGGCCGGAGTGGCTCCTCAGGAGGAGGTCTCCTCGAGAATAAGGCTTGGGGCTAATTGGCCACTCCCTTAGCCTATTTAAGGAGGAACGCCAACTGAAGCAATTTGCAGGGAACAACTTCGTTCACTCTCCTTCGCGTCTTGATCTTAGTTCTCTGCAAATTGCTTCTGGGCTTTCTGCCAACCCTAGTAAGATTACGATTATTTATTCTTTGATAATTAACAGACTTTGTTTTAAAAAGACTGATTTAATTTAGTAAACTAAGGTTTGTACAGACTCTGTGTGTGCTGCGTTCTTTGGGGCAGAACAGTAGGGGATTTTTGCCCATCTTCTCATATTGTAGATAAGTAGGTTGGTTGTCATTCATTCATTCATTCATTCATTCATTCATTCATTCATTCATTCATTCCTTGATTGCATTGAGATACCATTCTAGTCAAGTCTGATTCGGTACAATTGAGTTGTAGCCCCATCTAAAAAGCCAGTTGGCTTACTTTGGGCCAAACACCAGGCGACGGTGAGTTCTAGTCCCGTCTTAGGCATGAAACACTGGAGGTTTTTAAGAAGAGGTTGGATAACCATTTGCCTGAAGGGGTGTAGGGTTTCCTGCCTAAGCGGGGGTGGGGGTTGGACTAGAAGACCTCCAAGGTCCCTTCCAACTCGGTTATTCTATTCTATTCTATTCAAACCCAGCTGGGTGACTTTGGGACAATCAGCAGGAGACGGGGAGTTCTAGTCCCACCTTAGGCATGAAAGCCGGCTGGGTGTCTTTGGACCAATCACTAGGAGACAGTGAGTTCTAGTTCTGCCTTAGGCATAAAAGCTGGCTGGGTGAGCCAATCACCAGGAGATGGGGAGTTCTAGTCCTGCCTTAGGCATGGAAGCCAATTGGGTGATTTTGGGCCAATCACCAGGCGACGGTGAGTTCTAGTCCCACTTTAGGCATGAAACCCAGCTGGGTGAGCCAATCACCAGGAGACAGGGAGTTCTAGTCCTGCCTTAGGCATGGAAGCCAATTGGGTAATTTTGGGCCAATCACCAGGAGACAGGGAATTCTAGTCCTGCCTTAGGCATGAAAGCTGGCTGGGTGTCTTTGGATCAATCACTAGGAGACAGTGAGTTCTAGTCCTGTTTTAGGCATGAAAGCTGGCTGTGTGCCTTTGGACTAATCACCAGGAGACAGTGAGTTCTAGTCCCACCTTAGGCATGAAAGCTGTCTGGGTGTCTTTGGACCAATCACTAGGAGACAGGGAGTTCTAGTCCTGCCTTAGGCATGGAAGCCAATTGGGTAATTTTGGGCCAATCACCAGGAGACGGGGAATTCTAGTCCCGCCTTAGGCATGAAAGCTGTCTGAGTGTTTTTGGACCAATCACTAGGAGACAGTGAGTTCTAGTCCCATTTTAGGCATGAAACCCAGCTGGGTGAGCCAATCACCAGGAGACGGGGAGTTCTAGTCGTGTCTTAGGCATGGAAGCCGGCTGGGTGACTTTGGGCCAATCACCAGGAGACAGTGAGTTCTAGTCCCACCTTAGTCATGAAAGCCGGCTGGGTGTCTTTGGACCAATCACTAGGAGACAGTGAGTTCTAGTTCCGCCTTAGGCATGAAAGCTGGCTGGGTGAGCCAATCACCAGGAGACGGGGAGTTCTAGTCCTGCCTTAGGCATGGAAGCCAATTGGGTGATTTTGGGCCAATCACCAGGAGACGGGGAATTCTAGTCCCGCCTTAGGCATGGAAGCCAATTGGGTGTCTTTGGACCAATCACTAGGAGACAGGGAGTTCTAGTTCCCCGATATATCTCCCCCTCTCTTTCTCCCGCGGTACCCAAGACACGACAGGAGGAAAACCATCCCCCTCCTTATCCTCCGCCCCCATGAAACGGTGACCCCCCCTCACCCCCCTTACCTGAGAAAGCCCCGATCACAAACCGCCCGAAGATCATCATCTCGTAGGATTTGCCGAATTTAGCCAACCCCATCAAGCCACCAGCGACAAAGGCCAGGCCGTTGTTGATGATCATGGCTCTTTTCCTGGAAGGAAAGGAGACCACACGGCATGGACAACGAAGCTTGCTCGAGGGGGTGGGGGGGGTGGACGGGAGGTCCCATCCTGCACCAAGGGGGTCCCATCAACTTTTGGGGGTCTCCTCCATGAAGGAAGAGCCTGTAGCTGCAGAGACAAACTACGTTTCCATAGCAACCTGATCAGACCGTGATCCACCCATCAATTTATCCGGGATTAAACCCGGTTTACGGGTGCTTCCCATCACTCACGTCACCACCACAACTGCAGAGCCATAGGAAACATCTCCATCTCCTCAACTTATGACAGTTCATTTAGTGACCAAAGTTAGAAAAAGAGGACTTAGGACCCTTCCTCACCCTTACGACCCGTGGCAGCTTCCCCGGGGTCACGCGACCAAAACAATCGGACCCTTGGCAATGGGGGGCCCCTGTTTATGACGGTCGCGCTGGTTTTGCGACCTTCTGACAAGCAAAGTCAACGGGGGGGGGGACGGGACAGGACGGGGGGGGGACACGCCGGATTCATTTAACGACCGCGTGACTAACCTAACCACGGCAACGGTTCAATTAACGACCGTGCCAAGAAAGGTCGTAAAATGGGGGCAAAACTGACTGAACAAACGTCTCCCCTTAGCAACAGAAACGCTGGACCTCCATGATGGTCGTTAAGTGGAGGATCCCACCTGGATTTACGACCGCAGGCGGCCTCTTGTACAGTCAAGGACCACTTGTAACGTTGCCGACTTCGGTAATTCGCGAGCGGCTCTGACTGCTTGGGCCTGGGGTCTTGGCCCTCTCTGCTCTGTAGGGCGCTCTGCCCATGCTCAGAGGACGTCCCCCTTCCTTGCTAGGGAGGAGCCCACCCTGGGAGGGAGGGAGGGAGAGAGGGAGGGCTCACCTGCCCAGCCATTCGGAGACCACGCCCACCATGAAGGAGGCGAGCATCCCGCCGAGGGAGAAGATGGAGACCGAGAGGGACCACAGGATGTTGAGCGTGGCCGGATCGATGGAGGAGCCGTTCTCCGCGCCTTGACGATGCCGCCAGGTCGCGTTGTAGTTCTGCTCGATGATCTGGGGTGGGAGGAGGGGAGGGGAGGAGAGGGGAGGGGGGCAAGCAGAATGACTTTACGGTCGCTTTGAATGCACACGAATCGGCACAGGTTGAAACGAAATCCATTCGGGTACGGTTTCTCTGGACTGTCTCTCCGTAAAAGCACCGGGGTTTACGAGGGGTTTACGAAACCAGGGATGGGACGGGATGGAACGGAATAGTGGAATGAAGAAAGAAGAATGGAATGGAATGGAATAGGATAGGATAGGATAGGATAGGATAGGATAGGATAGGATAGGATAGGATAGGATACAATACAATACAATACAATACAATACAATACAATACAATAGAACAAATAGAGAATAGAATAGAATAGAATAGAATAGAATAGAATAGAATAGAATAGAATAGAATAGAATAGAATATACGGAATGGAATGGAATGGAATAGAATATGGAATAGATGGGAAGAGGAGAGGAGAGGAGAGGAGAAGAGAAGAGAAGAGAAAAGAGAAGAGAAGAGAAGAGGAATAGAATAAGAAATAATTAGAATAGTAATAATAGAATAGAATAGAATAGAATAGAATAGAATAGAATAGAATAGAATAGACGGAATGGAATGGAATGGAATAGAATATGGAATAGATGGGAAGAGGAGAGGAGAGGAGAGGAGAGGAGAAGAGAAGAGAAGAGAGAAGAGAAGAGAAGAGAAGAGAAGAGAAGAGAAGAGGAATAGAATAAGAAATAATTAGAATAGTAATAATAGAATAGAATAGAATAGAATAGAATAGAATAGAATAGAATAGAATAGAATAGAATAAGAATAGAGCGGAGTGGAATGGAATGGAATGGAATAGAATATGGAATAGAAGGGAAGGGGAGAGGAGAGGAGAGGAGAAGAGAAGAGAAGAGGAATAGGAATAGAATAAAAAATAATTAGAATAGAATAGAATAGAAAATAAGAATAGAGTGGAGTGGAATGGAATGGAATGGAATAGAATATGGAATAGAAGGGAAGAGGAGGGGAGGGGAGAGGAGAGGAGAGGAGAGGAGAGGAGAGGAGAGGAGAAGAGAAGAGAAGAGAAGAGAAGAGAAGAGAAGAGAAGAGAAGAGAAGAGAAGAGAAGAGAAGAGAAGAGAAGAGGAATAGGAATAGGAATAGAATAAAAAATAATTAGAATAGAATAGAATAGAAAATAAGAATAGAGTGGAGTGGAATGGAATGGAATAGAATAGAATATGGAATAGAAGGGAAGAGGAGGGAGGGGAGAGGAGAGGAGAGGAGAGGAGAGGAGAGGAGAGGAGAGAAGAAGAGAAGAGAAGAGAAGAGAAGAGAAGAGAAGAGAAGAGAAGAGAAGAGGAATAGGAATAGAATAAGAAATAATTAGAATAGAATAGAATAGAAAATAAGAATAGAGTGGAGTGGAATGGAATGGAATGGAATAGAATATGGAATAGAAGGGAAGAGGAGGGGAGGGGAGAGGAGAGGAGAGGAGAAGAGAAGAGAAGAGAGAAGAGAAGAGAAGAGAAGAGAAGAGAAGAGAAGAGGAATAGAATAAGAAATAATTAGAATAGTAATAATAGAATAGAATAGAATAGAATAGAATAGAATAGAATAGAATAGAATAGAATAGAATAGAATAGAATAGAATAGAGCGGAGTGGAATGGAATGGAATGGAATAGAATATGGAATAGAAGGGAAGGGGAGAGGAGAGGAGAGAGAAGAGAAGAGAAGAGAATAGGAATAGAATAAGAAATAATTAGAATAGAATAGAATAGAAAATAAATAATAGAGTGGAGTGGAATGGAATGGAATGGAATAGAATATGGAATAGAAGGGAAGAGGAGGGGAGGGGAGAGGAGAGGAGAGGGAGGAGAGGAGAGAAGAAGAGGAGAAGAGAAGAGAAGAGAAGAGAAGAGAAGAGAAGAGAAGAGAAGAGAAGAGAAGAGAAGAGAAGAGAAGAGAAGAGAAGAGAAGAGGAATAGGAATAGGAATAGGAATAGAATAAAAAATAATTAGAATAGAATAGAATAGAAAATAAGAATAGAGTGGAGTGGAATGGAATGGAATGGAATAGAATATGGAATAGAAGGGAAGAGGAGAGGAGAGGAGAGGAGAGGAGAGAGAGAGGAGAGGAGAGGAGAGAAGAGAAGAAGAGAGAGGAGAGAAGAGAAGAGAAGAGAAGAGAAGAGAAGAGAAAGGAATAGGAATAGAATAAGAAATAATTAGAATAGAATAGAATAGCATAGCATAGCATAGCATAGCATAGAATTAACAGAATACTTCATTGTCACTTTGAATCTAATCAGCGTACATTAAAAAGAAATTTCGTTGCGTGAGGCTCTCCAAGGGCCAGCCCCTCCAATATACACTACATAAACTTGAGAAGATAAATAAATAAATCAATACAAAATTATGCATCTATCCACATATATTACATGACCCAGAGGGACGACACAGTCTACCTCGGACGTATACGTGCCCACGGCGAGAGAAACGAGTCTTGCGAGTTTACCGGATGGATGGCTCATAGGGAACACGGCTGTTACATGAATCTGGTAAAAGTCCTGCTAGAAATCCTTCGAAACCCCCTCCCAGAGGGGAGCGACAGAAACAGACCGTGAGGTGGGTGGGTGAGGTCTCCCGCAATGCTTTGAGCTCTGAGCACGGAGCGCTTATGAGCAGCATCCCGAATAACAGGGAGCGAGCTTCCTATAATCTTCTCCGCTGTCCTCACCACTCTCTGTAGGGACTTTCTATCTCAGGTGCTGCGGCCACCGAAGTTTATTAAAACGCTCCCAATTGTGGCTCTGTAAAAAGTGGCCAGGACAGAGGAAAAAGATATGTTCTCCTCATCCGACACAGGAAATGCAGATACTGGTTTGCACGCTTCCCTACGGGTGACGTGTACCTTACCTCCATTCGCTTAGCGACCGTTTCAAGTTAACAACCGGGTTGAAAAAAAAATGACTTACAACCCATCCTTATACTTCGAGGCCATCACGGTATCCCCGTGGCCACACGATCAAAATTTGGGGCCCTTGGCAACAGGTTCAGGTAGTCTTCGACTTACGACCACAATGGTGCCCCAAATTTCTGTTGCTAAGTGAGACAGTCGTTAAGTGAGCTTTGCCCCGTTTAACGACTTTTCTGGCCACAGTCGTTAAGTGAATCCCTGCAATTGTTAAAGTCAGTCACATGTGTTGTTAAGCCCCGGGACACTTTGTCCGTCATAAATAGGAGTCAGTTGCCAAGTAAGTAGCTGAATTTTGACCCCAGGGCCACGGGGATGCTGCAACGGTCGTAAGTGTGAAAAACGGTCATAAGTCACGTTTTCCAGTGCCGTTCAAATGGTCAGTAAATGAACCATCGTAAGTCAAGGAAAATCTGTCCTTAGGATGGTTGCAGCATCATACAGTAGACGATTTTTGTGACTGTCCAGATATAATTATATCATATAATTATATTCTATTAATCATTATATAATTATAATTAATTCAATTAATCAAATCATTAATTAATCTCCGGCTCACATGATCGCTATTGGTGATCTTCCCAGACCATTCCCCACAAGTCAAAAGGGGGGGTGGAAAGCCGGATTTGCTTAACGACCATGTGACTCACTTAACAACTGAGGCGACTCGCTTAGCAACCGTGCCGAGGAAGGTTCTAAAATTGAGCACGGCTCGCTTTTTTTTCCTCTTTTAAATGGGGATTTTAAATTTGGTTTTAAATTATTGGGGTTTTAAATATGGTTCAGCCAAATTTATTTCATCGGTTTTATCTCTGTTTTAAATTTTGTATCTATAATGTTTTATTTTATGGCTGTTCACCGCCCTGAGTCCTTCGGGAGTAGGGCGGTATACAAATTTAATTAAATAAAATAAAATCATAAATAAATTAACAACTGCCCTGCTTCGCCATGAAAATTCAGGCCCCAACTTTCATTGTAAATCGAGGACTACCTGTATTGAAAGCGGGAGGAGGTGGGATGGTGGACGATGATTCGAATAAACGCCCAATTTTCAGCCCTTGATGCATTTTTCCCGCTCTTGTTTGTTTTTTTAGGGGATTGATTGGTTTATTTATTGTAGGAAACTTAGGAAATTTATGACAGTTGTGTGCTTAGGCACACAACCACAACAATCAAAGAGTTTCCTGCAGCTTTCCGTTCGTTTCCAGGAACAGCCCAAGAGTTCAATTGTCTGATATTTCCTTCTCTTTGTGTGGATTTGAGCGACTCCGTGCAAGGGGGAAGCGTTCTCCAGACAAAGACTTCACTGAAATAGGATCCAGATCAAAGCAGTCCTCGACTTACGACTGCAATGGCGCCCAAAAAACATCTGTCGCTAAGGGAGATGATTGCTAAATGAGTTTTATTTATTATTTATTATTTATATTTATATTTTATTTATTGGATTTATATACCGCCCTACTCCCGAAGGACTCAGGGCGGTGAACAGCCACAGAATAAAACACATAAATACAAAAATTTAAAATAGAATAAAAACGAATTAAATAATTTGGCTGAGACAAATTTAAAATACCCAATAAGTTAAAAACAAATTAAAATTTACATTTAAAAGGGGAAAAGATTTAGGCCAGTTTTACAAGCTTTCTTGCCACGGCTGTTAAGGGGGACTCCCTGTGGTCATTAAATCAGTCGCCCGGTTGTTAAGGGAACCTGGCTTTCCTCATTGGACTCTGTCAGAAGGTCGCAAAAGGGAATCAGGTGGGACGCTGCGACCGTCATAACGACGAGCGTCTGAATTTTCATCACGTGGATGCTCGGGTCGTCCAGTGTGAAAAAACGGTCGTAAGCCCCGGTTTTTCAGTGCCGTCGTAACTTGGAACGGTCACTAAATGAAATGTTGTAAGTCGAGGACTACCTGTACACAAGATCGGCAACTCACATTTAAAACAGTCTAGCTGGGGCTCTCACACTATGGCAGAAGCCCCACCCGGAAGCCTAAAACAAATATAATTTATGATTTAAATATAATTTATTTATATTTTTATATATATATAATTGCAAATATTGATTGATTAATTGCAAAAATTGATATAATTGCAAATGTTCAGTTGACTGTTCTATTTTTCATATTATGTAGGGCATAAATTTGGTCAACATGGTTACAGTGGCCATTTTGACTTTTTTGACCTAGTTCTCCAGGAAGGACCTTGGAAGAGCTGAAGGACTTGGTTGGAGACGGAGCTTCATGGAGGGTCAATCGGAACTGATCGCCTTAGAAGGTCAATCCATGGGAAGACCCAGCTTTCTTGGGAAGGACCAGCAGGAAGGAAGATTAGGAGGACCAGCAGTATGGAAGAAGGACTCAGTTATAGTGGTGATGGAGGCACCATTGGAAGAAGGGCCTCCTGATGTTGAGAACATCCATCAGGTTCTCAAGAGTGGACTCTTGACTTGATAGCAGATCAGTTTCTTTTGAGGGAAGCCACACAACCTTCACAGAAGTCCATAATGGTGGGAAAGGTGGAAGGGAAGAGAAGAGGACAACCACGGAAGGGTGGATGGACTGAGGTGTTGTGGTGATGGAGACACCATTGGAAAACCTGAAGATCAGATCCTGCAGGAGAACATCTTTGTGGTCAATCAGAACTTTTCAGATGGCAGAAGGTTAATCCATGGGAAGACCCAGCTGTCTTGAGAAGTCCATAAAGTTGGAAGGAAGGAGAAGAATAGGAGGACAAACAGCAAGTGGGGAGGATTCAGTTATAGTGGTGATGGAGGCAAGGTTGGAAGAGCTAAAGGATCAGATCGGGAACAGACCTTCATGGAGAACATCTAGGAGATTGTTAAAGGTTGACGCTGCCTTGATGGTCTTCATCAATCAAATTCTATTGAGGCAACCCATCCAACCTCCAGAGAAGTCCATAATGGCAGTAAAGGTAGAAGGGACCAACAACCAGCTGGAAGATGGATGGGTTGAGGTGTAGTGGTGAGGGAGACACCATTAGAAGACTTGAAGAACCAGGTTGGAGACAGATCCTGCTGGAAAACATCTCTGTGGTCAATCAGAACTGATCGGATGGCAGAACCTCACTCAAAAGGAAGACCCAGCTGTCTTGAGAAGTCCATAAAGTTGGAAGGAAGGAGGAGAAGAGAAGGACCAGCAGCAAGGGGGAAAGACTCAGTTAGAGTGGCGTTGGGGGAGCCATTGGAAGACCTGAAGGACCAGACTGGAGAGAGATCTTCATGGAGAACATCTTCTAGGAGGTTGTTAAGAGTTGACACTACCTTGATGGTCATTATCAATCAATCAATTTCTATGAAGGCAACCCATACAACCTCCAGAGAAGTCCATAAGCGTGGGAAAGGTGGAAGAGAAGAGTAGAAGAGGACAACCAGCAGGAAGGTGGATGGACTGAGGTGTAGTGGTGATGGAGAAACCATTAGAAGACCCGAAGGACCAGACTGGAGAGAGAACTTCATGGAGAACGTCCAAGAAGCTCAGTGTTCTTCAACCTTGGAGACTTTTAAGATGGGTGGACTTCGACTCCCAGAATTCCCCAACCAGCATACCTGTTTCCCATTTAATTGTCACACCATCTATCCCACTTTTAATTCATTTATTCATTTAAGCTTGTCATGGGTTATTTATTTTTTTTTTCACTTTGCTGGTCAAGGTATATTACATCTACCGCATTCCCACCGTCTATTAAGAAAGTTACTCCATCCAAAAAATGCAATGAAGGTAGTCATGGACTCCGCTGACCGACCGCCCCCCCACCCCCACCCCAGCCCCAAGCCTCAGGACACAGCTCCATCGGTTTACCTTTTGGGGGGCATTGATCACCCCGATGTTGTATCCGAATTGCAAGGATCCCAAGATGGCCGTCAGGACAGACAGGATTAAGACGGGGGTAATTTCACTCCCAGCCGCCTCCGTGCCCTGAAAAACAGAATTCCTGGTTAGGTTCGCGGAACGGAGAAACGGGGGACCCCGGCACATTTGGGGTGAATTGTCAAAAAAGCCAAGTACGTCCCTTCAATAAAAGTGGTGCTTCGCTTTTCTTTGTTTACAACATTACCCACTTTAAAGTATGGGGACTTCAACTCCCAGAATACCCCAGGCAGCAATGGCGGCTAAGGAATTCTGGGAGTTGAAGTCCAGTCAGTCATCTTTCAATGGGTTGAGGTATAGATGGATGGACTTCAACTCCCAGAATACCCCAGGCAGCAATGCCAACTGGGGAATTCTGGGAGTTGAAGTCCAGTCAGTCATCTTTCAATGGGTTGAGGTGCAGATGGATGGACTTCAACTCCCAGAATACCCCAGGCAGCAATGCTGGCTGAGGAATTCTGGGAATTGAAGTCCAGTCAATCATCTTTCAGTGTGTTGAGGTACAGATGGATGGACTTCAACTCCCAGAATTCCCCAGACAGCAATGCCGGCTGAGGAATTCTGGGAGTTGAAGTCCAGTCATCCTTCAATGGTTAAGGTACGGATGGATGGACTTCAACTCCCAGAATACCCCAGGCAGCAATGGCGGCTGAGGGATTCTGGGAATCGAAGTCCACCCATTTTAAAATGGCTACAACTCTCAGAATTTTCCCAGAATTCCCCAGCCGGCATTCAACCGACAAAGGGAGCTCCTGCTGCTTATGACAGCGCCCGAATCAAATGGTTTAACTGGCATTTTGGCACCCTCGATTAACAGAGTTTTCAAACCCGGCACCTTGAAGACGGGTAGACTTCAACGCCCATAATCCCCCCAGGCATCGCGGCTGGCTGAGGGGGGCATCCTGGGAGTCGAAGTCCACCCATCTTACTTAAAACGGCTCAGGTTTGTACCTGCTCCTACCCGCTGCTCCACCTTCTTGCAAACCAGACGGGCAGGCCGATTCGGAAACATGCAGCCACAGGCCCATAATGCACAGCCCCTCCGGCGGCAACATTCCCTCGTGCAAGACAGGGCACGCGTTCGTAGCACGGAGGATGCCCTGAGTAATTTTAAAATTCTCGATCCGTCGGCTCTTCCCCGTTTTGCGAGGTTTTTGGAATTCCTCGCGGATAAAAACATCTGGACGGAGGCCAGAGGCAGCCTAAGGAGTCCAGATATCATCCATTTCCTCCTGCAATCCTTATTTTTTTCCCCCCATTTTTTTAACTATACCCTGCATTCCACCATCACCCCCCCCTCTCTCAAAAAAATAGATTTATAGGGCAGAAGGAATGCCAACCCTCGAAAACAATGGAAGGAGGAGAATTATGATTAATTTCCGGAACGGTTGCTATCCTGCGGGAATCGGATAGAGTCCAGCTGGGCTCAGAATAGCGTGCAAAAGTCAATATTGGATTTAAGCATTTAGATTTGAACCGCGATATCGCGTCCCTCGTGGCCGGCTACGAGGAAGAGAGAGAGAAGACGGAAGAAAACGCACAACTGCGCAAAGGGTTGTTGTAAGGAAGTCAGTAAGTGGGGTGGGGTGGGGACCTCTAAAGACCCTTACAATTCTATTAATCTGTATCTCTATCATCAGAACCTCAAACAACACCCAGCTCACACCCCCCCGCCGTTTAAATCCTGGGGGAAAAGGGACTTTGCAATACACAGACACTCCTCGACTTACGACAGTTCGCTTAGTGACCATTCAGAGTCACAAAAGGGACTTGGGACTGTTATTCACACTTACGACCTTTATAGCGTTCCCCATGGTCAGGGGATCAAAATTCAGATGCTTGGCCGCTGACTCGTATTTATGACGGTCGCAGAGGCCCGGGGTCAGGCGATCCCCTTCGGACAAGCAACTGTCAAGAGGGAAGCCCGATTCGCTTCACAACTGAACAACCGGAGCGATTCGCTTAACAACGGTGGCCAAGAAAAAGGTCGTACGGTGAGGCGAACCTCACTTAACAAATGTCTCGCTTAGCAACGGAAATGCTGGGCTCAACGGTAGTCGTAAGTTGAGGACTACCTGTGATAATACGCACCGTTTGAACATCATCGGCATTGAAAAAATCCCCACCTATCAATTACAAAAGGCAGCTTTGACTTGGAAGGGCTGACATCCTGTGACCTTTGACCCCATCCACATCTGCCTCTCCAGGACTCCAGAGTTGGATAAAAAGGCCCAATCCAGTCTGAACATCTGGCTGCCTGTGTGACCGGCCACAATCGCCAAAAACATCTGGAGCACCATTGAAAACCCTCAGCATTGACAAAATCCCCGTCAGTCAATTGCAAAAGGCAGCTTTGACTCCGAACAGCTTACATCCTTACCGGAAAATCTTTTAACGCTTCCAAACAACATCTGTCTATCTTTTATCCATCGATTAAGTCCCGGGGAAGGACTTAATAAGTGGACAGAGATGTCCACTCAGCTCTGCACATCTGGCTGATTGCAACGAACCCGGTAATAACAGCTTATCAACAGCTGGATTAAAAACA